TGGATCCTTCACCATTCGCGAAGGATAGCTATCAGCGGTAAAAGATTTCAACACTTTTACGCTCATAGCGTAGCGTGTGGATCGGGTCCTACGGCAAAGACGGCACTGTGTCGACTTGGTCATAATGGCAGCGCGCCTGGACAAGGTTGTAGCACAGCTTGCCACGGGCGACACGATATCTCAACAAGTTCCTTGCGGGGTAGGCTGGTAAAACTACAGTAGCCAGTATGGCGCAAGTACAGCATGGCCGCTTTGACGGCTTGGACACATGATGTGAAAACTACGCAAGCCACGAACATTTTGAAACGACATGTAATAAATTGATATAACGGAGCTCGAAGCTGATGGAATCTGGTGCAACAGCGCTTGCGATGAGCGGCGAGAAGGCGTTTATAGTATTTGCAAGCTAGCCGAGCCATTTGTCCTTCGGTGCAGCCCGGGGCGATCACCGGTTGGATGGTGCGTTGAGCTCTTTCTTGTCGCGAGCGGCTCCGTCAGGGAGGTGGCGAGCATCAAGTTGTGGATGTGCTGGGCTTGGCTGATCCCGATCTTGACCACATCCGCGATTTTGGGCTACCGCAGTCGATGTGTTGCAGCAAGAGGGTGGATACCGAGTTTGCCAATAGGAGGGCTTAGACGCAACTGCACCAATTTACCGGGAGAAACGGGTTGCACCAAATCGGTTGTTTGTGGACCAGTGGTAACAGCGCTGGAAACATGCGTGGCCCTCACGAATGAGGTCAGCTTGCATTGGAACCGATCAGGCACGGCTTTTGTCTTGAGCTTGTGCCGTATCTAGGTTGGCGAAGGCGACATGGGCAAAGTTGTTTTAAGGCGCGTAAGCATTGCTTGGTGCCGACGAGTCCGGAACCGGGGACGACGTGAGCGCGGCATTGCCTCCGGCCTTCATGTATCAGAGAGGTGGTGAGCGGTCCGAGTCTCGAGCGCGGGCTTGAGGCCGAGGCACGCTTCATGTTTTGGCGCAAAGATAATGCTATGGCAGAAGTCTTGCGCGCCGTCGCCGACGACCGGTAGCTCTCCGTTAATGAACAGGAGGAGCATTTTGCTGGTGCTTGAGGCGTGTCCTGCAGTGTCGTACGACCCGCGCAACCTGGAACCGGAGGTCCAGCAGGTGGCCCTGGCGACCAAGCTCGTCGAATCGTGTCGCCAAAAAAGTAGCCAGTCTTGCAGGTGGCGCAGTGCGTAGGCACAGCGAGCGCTGGGGGACGATTGGGCACAGGCGATTGCGTGAGGCTTTGTGTCTTGAGATGGGCAGCTCGAGGTACATCTGTTGAAGCGCCATCACAAGAGAGAGCCTTGGAGTACACTCAGGTTGATGCAGAAGGGCGAAGAGAGGTCACCATTGGAGTGAATCTTGAATAGTTGTGCGGATCGAGCGTCCTCGGATCAAGCCGCTCTGATCCGCGTGCATCAAGAAGTGAGCGCGCGGCTGCAACCGGTTGACCAAGACTGCATGCAGTAAAGATCATGACGCCGCTATTAATGAGAGCGGTAGTCGGCAGGGCAGTCGCGTGCGCCCTTCTCGTGGGAGGGAATTGTCGTGCTTTGGACTTTGCTCGGCGTGAGTGTCGCATTACTAGTACGCCGTTGACTACCAATTCCAGCGCTCGAAATTGCAACGCGCCTGGACAAGGTGATAGCACAGCGTGCCACACACATACGATATCCCATGAATTTCCTGGTAGTTCTAGTGGATAGGTACACGTTTCTGGGAACAAACTCTATGCGGGCTGCGCGCGGGGTTGCGAAGCACCTGCTCACTCAAGGCAGATTGGCCGTGGCACACATCTTGATGTCCACACTTCAGTTTGGGCTACTATGCAGCGTCGTACAGGCTCTCAACCGGACTGATGAGAACAGCGCAAAGCACCTCGATAGCGTGTCAAACGCCTTATCATTTTAAAGATGACTGCGTCTCACAACTATTGCGTTTAAACTGGGTAAGAGCTAAAATACAAAATTGGATCTCATTGCGATTATTTTTACATTCGTGTGATATGTGCACGACAACGAGTTTTAGGGGGTTTTGTCGACGATCTGGCTTCGATTCTAAGACTGTGCGGGGTGTGTGGGGTGTAGATTTTGCATTTGAACGTGATGTGCACATCACATACCCAATGAATTGTTCCCTCGAGTATTTCTGGAGCGCATGCCGGCCGAGTTGTTATATACTTAATCCCTGCTTGCAACAACAATCCACGCAGCATATATTGAAACAATTTTCCTATTCTCGGAACAAAATAGATTTCGGCACAGCCTTTATAGTGAAATGACTAGAGTTGTAGCCAGTCATGCTCGGTACGTAGCAGTTCACCCAGAGGAGCGAGTGTCCCACGATTCGACTACATAAGTGGTGCGCGAGAGACACCTGCCTGTGTGCTATGTCAAAGATAACAAGCTTCTTAGTATACTGCAACACGCGCGATCAGGTTTTACAGCATGTTGGAAAACCGAACACGTGAAAAAGAGTCGTCAAAGGCCTAGCCTTGTCGTTTCGAGAACGGACGCATACAATTGGTCAGCTCGTCGGAATTTCTACAGAAAGTGTGATGGAGACGTATTGAGGGCAGGGACGGCTGTTAACCAGTGGGTGTTGGCATCATTCGTCGTCAAGTACTCGGATGCATTACGACTTTTCGTGCCAGCGCCCTCAGAGAACCATGTTGCTTTTTTCGACAGAAAAGTCGTTAGTCCGAAGCAATCAGGTGTCGAAGAATCTCACGGGAGAGCTGACAGATTAGTAACGGCTTTTCAAGCTTCGCTATTGGCTTCAGCCGTTCATCAACTTAATCGTTTAATCAATAAGATTGTTAAAAAGCGACGATTCAATAGCGCTAAGAACATCTCCTACGTTCTCGCAAATCGTTGCAGATCGAAAGCTTCTATTCTACTGACCTTGTTTTTTGCATCGGCAAATTACATTGAGAGTCGTTAAGTGAATATCATAGTGCTTGTGAATCTGCAACATTCATACGTTGCGTTACACAGTTAGTCTCACACTTCCTCATCCTTTGTTCTCGTACTTAATCGCCAATGCAAGCTCGTCCAATATGCAGGCATCGATGCAAAAATGACTTCACTAACGTCAGCTGCCGACCAGCAGGCGACATGTTTCCTCCTTAACGAAAAAAGATCCCTACAAACTGGTTCGGATATGAATCATACGTTACAGTCTAATTTGATTACTTGGCACAGGAGCTTCGCTCAGGATCTTGACACAGGAAGCTTCGTAAGCTGCAAATTGGCATGCCTGTAAAATATGAATAAAATCTATATATCACACAAGGTTACATGCAAAATTGGTTCTCACCGAAGCCCAAATACGATAACTACATTTACAGGTCGTTAGCCGACATGTTGTATATATCACATTGCGTAAGACCTAATGATGCATGGAATACAAAGCCTGACCGAGTTTGTATCGAACGTCTTGGACTATACATGCACTTTCTATAAAGTAGACCATTGTATTTCTAGCATTATGTTTGCTATTATTAGGCAGCAGCCTTCTCGACAAGGCTCGTTGGTTTGACATAACACACAAGACAGTAATGCTCACTGTGTCTTCCTCTAAAAATATATGCTGACTGGCATATGATCCATCCACTAATTTCTATATGCTGAAATAGTTGCCGCAGGGACATCTGGTACGATCACGATTTATTAGTCACAAGTCTCAGCACCCAATAACAACCGACAAGCAAGCCAAATGCATAAACGCAATACTGCGTGGAAATGTTTTAGTAAGATAAAAAGCCGAACCCATCTGGCAGTTGAATAATTATCTTGCACGTCCTGCATCAGGCTTAATCATTTTCCGCGATAAAAAAAATAGTGATCGTCAATTTACAAACTACTAGGCACGAGCCTGATTCCGACCCAGTCGAGCGCGACGAAGCCTAGATGGCGATGTTCGGCAAACAGCATAAGGTACAGTGACTATTGCGACAAGCGCAAGTAGACAGTTGTGTTACATTCACAGCAGAGATATGAACAGGATTTTTCGACCCACCCAACCCAGCCCCTTGGTTGAAAAATATGCTTCGACCCACCCAGACCCAACTCATTGTCCGGGCAGGTCAATCTAACCCAACGCGACTTCTTTTTGTTTTTGAGGAAGGAGCTATAAAACAAAATGTCGTCGGCGACATTGCGCAGCTTCGTAAACGTGATGCCAGCATCTGGGAAGTTACTTTCAGGCTTGGCACGCACGGCGGAGACACCGAACGACTTTAGCGCAGGCATACTCGTTTCTTTCACCACTCTTTTACGGAGTAGGAGATGCGCTCTTCGGGGGCAACCTTCATCGCCAAAAGTAGCGCTCAATCTCGATATCCACGCAGCTGGCGCTGGAATCTTCGGGCATCTCGTCGTCACACCAGTCAACGGTGAAGAGCTTGCGCTTTGCGCCGCGGTCCGTCGTTGCCGATGAATGGTTTGTGGCGTCCTGCGTCAAGGTTGATCGGCGTCGTGCTGAAGATGCCGTACTCTTTCAGAATAGACGATGTCTCGTTCTTAATAAAGATCGCAGTGTGCGGCTCGTTGGAGAGACTCCGAACGCCAAGTACTTGATCCACGAGCTTCCAGTCGTACGTGATGTAGGAGCACGTGAGCGAAATGAACGACGTGCTGGATATCGGCTCGGTCCACATGTCGACCGTCGCGCCAACCCTTGCTGGCAACGTGGGCCTGGAGGCGCGGCTTGAGCATGGCTCGCGCTTCTTTGGCTTCGACAGCTAGGGCGCGCTGGACCGTCGTGGGTTGGGCCAGCACGTCTTTGGCGAGGAGCCGCGCTCTGCTCTTGAGGCCAATATCGAGCATCGTTTGGGCAAAGGCCATGAAGCTGCCACCCTCAGTGATCTTAAAGGGGTGAAGATCCTCGGAGAAGAGGGCCAAGGCCACGTGTGCGCGCTTTGCTGCCTTCTTCGCCTCCGCGTTCACCGTGAGGGTCATCGCGTGGTTCGAGATGCTGGTCTGCGTTGCTGGTGCCGGGCACTTGTGGCGGTTGAGCGAGCTTGTACCAAAGGCGGATTGCATGGTGAAGACATGAAAGCACTGCTTGCATGCCACAAAGTAGAATCCAGGGGCTGTGTTTTTCGCAGCCTTAACGTTGTTCTTGAGCACCCAAAGCGGTCCCAGCACGCGGACGTGACTTTCGGTGGTTTCTCCAGCTTGAACTGGGGGTTGCGCAAGGAAAGCGCGCGTCCGATGGCTCTGGCCTCTGCAGCAAGCTCGAGCTTGTTGGGCGTGTTGAGCGTGTTGGGCGTGTTGGGCACACGTTGAGAGGGAGTCGTAGGGACAGGCGCAGTGCTTGGTCCGGGAGACGAAAGCGAGTTACGGATTGAGGACATGATGATCACCGCAAGAAGACTCAAGTGTTGTCGAAAGATGACAAAACTGAGGTCATTATTCACACATATTAGCTGTCGGCATTCACGAGGCGGGAGTCGGCGGAGATCTCGGTGGCATGACCGCATCACGCATTCAGATGCCACGAGTCGTCATAGGACGTCGTCGCCATTCGCTGACGATTACGTGATCAAAGCTGGATCGGCATGGGTCAGGGCCGCTGCCCATGCGCCACCCGGACCCAACCCATGTTTTTTTCGGGCCGACCCAACCCAACCCGGCACACCACAATTGTTTTTCGACCCACCCAGCTCGGCCTACGAGCCCGGGTTGGGCCGAGCCGAGTCATGGGTCATGGGCCAATGGGTCATTTTGCAGATCACTGATTCACAGAGCGTGCGCGACCATCTTTTTCCAAGATGTGGACGCGGGAACTGGACAAGCTCCGTAGGACAACGGC